AACAAAAATCTGGACTAACACTGGATAAAAACTGTCGCAGTGCAGTAAGCATTCGAAAATATGCGTTTTTGCGATGTGTACTACCGAACAAGCAGTGGATGAGTACTCAATGGTGGATCCAGGAGGGGAGGGGAGTGGGAGAGGCTTGGTTAGTTATTTTAAAGGCTCAGGTAGTAGTTATTTTACTGTATAAGAATGTATTCGGTACTGCCTGTCGCCTCCTCCCCCCTCCTCAGGAGCCCAGCACGTCCAACTTAGTGTCTACCAGTGAGACCAGGGAGGGCGCGAGGGGGTTGAGGGAGGGGAGGAGGAGGGGGGAGGGGGAGGGGGAAAGCACGACGATTGAGGAGTGGGCTGAACTGACCGAGGGAGGGAGGAGATGTAGTGGCGAAGGGAGAAGGGGAGGTGAAAGGTTGCCCCCCTCCCCACTCCCCTCCCAGGAGACTACCCTGGATCCGTCTATGTGAATGCTCCATCAGACAAAGAAGAAAGAGTTGGGTCACTTGCTTCGTCTTCGATTTATGAAATTAGCATGTATTAGACGTGAAGTCAGTGAGCCAAACTACTTGTTTTACCTAGTCTGATAAGCTAAAACTGCAAAATTTTCAGTTTGTGTCTGACCTGATTCTTAAGATACGTTTAAAATTTGCTGTACACTGACTAAGAGCAAAGACTATTGGACTTGCAGCCGGACTGCGGTTAGTAAAGATATGAAAACTAATCTTTAATAATTCACTGTGCAGTAATTTTGGACTAAGTTTCAAACGCACCCTTCTTTCTTCTCAATTTATAACATTAGACTGCATTTGGAGTTAACGCTGTGAGACAAGTTTTGGATTTTTGCAGTTTTTGGTGCCGCGGGCAACCCTGACGAAACTATCAACTTTCCAAATAACTCTGCGAGCATATATGCAGCCTCACACAAACAATCCACAGGCATGATCTTGTCATGATACGCTCCATCCATAAATCACGCAAAAATGCAGACTTGAAGCCGACATAGCTTTTCCATGCATACTTCCGGATGAAATAACCCACGATTTGAAGCAGCAAGAAATAACAAACGAAGGGTTTTTTAAATGCCGGATCCCAAATGGCATCGAGTGGCGGCAGCCGATATTCTGCACCTTCATATTTGTCCATCCGCCAAAGAAACTGCAAAATAAACCATAACACTAAACAGCAGTGAAATTTTTATGCATAAACTTACAAAGGCGCATGTTTTTAGAGCGCTTCTGCACAAATAATTGATATGAAAATAATTGATGCTTAAAGGTGTGCCTATATGTGAGGAGGTGTCCACTAGGGCCACCAAATCCAGGACTACAGAT